AACTCCAACTTCTCTTTTGAAAACAGATTTTACATTATTACAACTGTGTTTTACTATATTGTCAATATTTATCTATTTATACACCATCCTTCATTATTGGAGTCCACATGGAGGTTTAGTTGTTGACAAATACATTAATAAACGCTTATATCTGCTTGCAATTACATTATTATGTGTTATAAACAATTAAAAAAAATATTACTTAAAAATGCTAAATAGAGGGATTAAAGTAAAGTGTTACTGAATTATACATTTTTACAGGACTAATTTGTCTACAGAGAATTTAACCCATATTAAGTGCTTGCAAGTCTATAAACTTATTCAGGTTGTCCTGAAATAAAAGTTTAAAAAAATAAAATGAAGAAAAAGGCAACACTATAAAACAAGTCACAAGAAGACAGCCCTACTTGTCATTTCTGTGAACAAAGTGAGTTAAACGGGAGGTAGCCTTTTGAGTTCCTCTGTGGCCAGTCTCTCTTTCTCACATCATGTTTTCAGCTTCATTAAACTCCTTAAAGACAGAAGAAATAAAGAAGCAGAAGGAAAAAAAAAGAGATGAGAAGAAAACAAACAAAGGACTGCCTAACCAGACTTTGGCATAAATGTCACAGTCTAAACTCTTTATGGCTCCCTACTTAACATTAAAAACACTTCCAACAAAATCCATTTCTTGTTTAGAAAACGTTCTTGGACAGAAGTCAAACATATTATTCCAGAGCTAAAAAGCGGAGAAAGACAAGCGGCTCACAAAAAGGGGCAGTTTCATTGTAATTCATTGACTTGTTCAAAACGCCAGGCAAAGAAAAGGGCTAGACATTAATAGCTGCAGATGCCCTCATGAAGGGGGACTCTATGTAGGCATTATGGCCTTTGTTCGCACCCAGTTAAACTGTTTAAAAGGAGGGTTAACTCAATCCATCAAATTGTCTGAAATTGTGAGGAAATTTCAAAAACCATATGGCCTCCAAACGTTTGCGTCCTTTTTGTGCGGTGGGACACACTTGTCTCAGTATTGCTGCCTGCGGGGGACCGGCCCTGCTCCTTTGTGGCTCGTCCCATCAGGGAACGCTGCTCATTTGTCCCCACTTTTCATGCTTTACGCTCAAAATTACGACCCAGTCCCGCAGAACAAAAAAGGTCTATAAAAGCCTGGAGAAACTGGCCCAAAACGTTGTGTTTTTGTGGCATCCTCGTCTTTTCCCCCCCCGGCACCAGATTTGTGTTTCTCACATAAATTTTTGCAACGAATGGAGAAACACGTCTAAGGGTCAAGAAGCCATGATACGCATTTAGGATGTGAAAGGAGATGTGAGATTCCAGGCCACAAAATGTTTAGAGCATCCAAGTAGAAAAGAACACAAAGAGACAAAATAGTTCAGTATAATAACTCTAAATAGGCCGCTTTGATGGGCTTACACGCCCAGATTTGGCAGCGAGAGCGTGTTTCTTCAATGTCTTTTTTTTTGTCCTCGCCATAGAAAAAAAATCCAGACTATTATATTCATAATAAAAACAACCTAATTATTAATTCAAGAATTACAACATAAAAGATATATTCAGAAAAGCCATTTTATTCCCATAGTATAGCCTATATACATTACAGTCTGTGCATTGGTTTTTCAAATAATGTCCTGATTTTAGAAAGGCACTTACAGGTGTACAAAACATAACAAATTTATAACTGTAAATCTATTGTATACAAACAATAAATCTAAAAAGTAGCCTATAGCTTGTCAAAATCACCGCAATATTATTTTTTGTTTCTCGCCGTCGCGTGAGCATTCCCATAAAACGTATGAATGTCCAAGTTTGCCTTTCCGATTATCATCATCATCATTATCATCATGCACTGCAGTATCGGGACGCCAAATAAGAAGTGAAGTCAACGGGTCCAGTGAGATGAAGAGGAGCAGGAGGAGAAGAAGAGCCGGCAGTGAAAAGGTGACTCAATTGCGATGTGGCTCACAGAAAACACAAAAACAATTAAATAAAAAATAAAAAAAATAAAGTAAAAATAAATAGATAATGACCACAAATCAAATCATGCATTTACATGCAAAGAATATGACAAACTAGAGCACTTCCATTGTGGTGTGTGAGGGTATAGGCCTTATAGCAAAAGCGATAGAACAGGTGTGTGTGTGTGTGTGTGTATGTGTGTGTGTGTGTGTGTGTGTGTGTACGCGCGCGTGTGTGCGTGCAAGTGTATGTGCGTGCGTGTGTGTGTGCGTTGGCCTATAGTGTAAAAAAATAATAAGTTACTCATGTCATTATAGACCATATTGCTTTGATTGCAAGAAGTAACAGTTTTCTAATGAATACATTGTAAAACACCACTGCATATTTCTTGTTCTGGGTTCATGCTTCACTATGAATAGGTCTATCTGTGTCGATATAAAAGTCATTACATTTTGGTACATGTTCTGAGATATGGTATACAATATAAGCAGTAAGTTACAAGTCCTCGGTAGGATTTTTTCTATCGTCTTTTTGTGTTTCTCGACCTTCGAGCCCCACGCTGCGCCATCAGTCATCCACATCAATCTCCACGTCCTCGTCCTCTGAGCACTCTTTACTAGTTGTGTGGTCTGAGAATGGGGACAGCGGCGAGTTCCGCAGTTTCTGAACGAGCTCGCGCTGCTTGCCGCCCCGCGCGGGGGAATGGGCTCGCGGGTGGCCCAGCGTACCGTTGGCGCATTTCTCCAGGTCTGCCAGCTTGGCGAGCTTCTCCAAGGGGACCTGGCCGACGGCCTTGGCCGACTCCACGTCGGCCTTCATCTCCTCCAGGTCCCGTTTTAGCTTGGCCCTCCGGTTCTGAAACCACGTGATGACCTGCGCGTTCGTCAGGCCTAGCTGCTGCGCGATCTGGTCCCGGTCGGCCGGCGACAGGTACTTCTGGTACAGGAAGCGCTTCTCTAGCTCGTAGATTTGGTGATTGGTGAACGCAGTCCGAGACTTCCGACGCTTCTTCGGAGTGCTTCTCTGACCGAACAGAGTCATGCCGTCCCGGCCTGTGAGGGAGAGACAGAGGCCGAGTGAAAATCATTGAATCCTTCAGCTGCAGGGCTTCCTCTGCACCGCTGCAGTGTGCGCGTAAAAGTGACCTTAACGCAAAAATAGCAATGAATGTCATCTTATATATGAAACAGCAAAGCCTTTAGCTCTTGTGGGAACGGGTTATTGCAATAATATCACACAGACACCACTGGGAAATGTTTAGCACCAGACACACGAGACCCTTATTATTAAAGAAAAGCGGTGGCGATTTATATCGTCCAGCCATGCCCATAAAATGAACACGCCTTTGTTCGATCAGACATTTTATAGGAAAAATATGCATTGGTGAAAATATTTGCTCTGGCTATTAAACAAGCACATTTAACGAATGAATTGCACGACAGGGTTCGAAATACAAGGTGTTACCAAATGGTTATTTTGTATCGTGCAGGCCATTGAAGAATGAAAAAACAGAGAAACGCCCACAATTAAAACGGTGAATTTGAACTGTGTTTTTTTTTTTGGATGGAGATTTACCTTCCGCAGCCTGTAAAACGCTAACTTCCAGCCCCTTGAAGGTCTTGCTGGCCAGCTCCTCTAACGCGCAGAGCGGGGAGGTTTGGTTGAGGAGAGCCCGGCTGGACAGGGGGATGCTGGACGGACGGTGCTTCTCAGAGGACGAAATTAGATGAGCTGTTCCGCAAATTGTATAACTTCGTTTCACAGACGGTTTGTTCAGGATATCCTCGATGCTGAAGGGGGTCAGCGGCTTGTTGGAGTTGGCAGGAGGCGGCAAGTGGTCCAGCGGACTTCGCCTCCTGTTCTCCACTGCATCACATTTGGCCACTTCTTTGGATGTCATCATTGGTTGTGCGCAGAGTTTGTAAAGGACTTCGTTGAAATATTTGTCGGTTAAAAACGAACGATACTATTGAGGAAAAAAGTCACATAACAGTTTGGGAGGTAAAAAAAAACCCCAAAACACTGAGGAGAGAATGAAGAAAATAAAATCTTATTCCAAAACGGGATGTCTTTAGAGTGTCGATCCTCGGGAGCAGCAAGTCCGCAGGAGTGAGATGCCTCCCTGAAAATGGCGAGGTCCAAAGAGTTGACGATTACTAACAAGTTATCATTGATTGGTAGGTAATCAATTATCTCCAGTGGCACTTTCGCCCTCTTCCCTTTCACTCTTTGACTATGTTGCAGTCCAGTGCGGGGCTTTTTGCGACTGGGGGTGTCCCATTAATTAGGACGCATGGCTGGAAGGAGGAGGAGCCCGGCGGAATTATTATAATGCTTTGTGCTCTTATCATCTTTGGTCTAATTTAGTCGTGTGGTGAGATACCAGAATAGGTTTATGGGGTAAATGAGAGGAAGCAGAGGGAGAGGGAGAGCGAGAAAGATAGGGGGAGAGATGACAATCTGCAGCGTTTTTAAACGATTTTATGCGTAAAACTTTGTTTTTAGTTCAGCAGGAGTTTCTCGGCTTTTATTTTGTATCATCCTGATGCTGCCAAAAGACAAGTCGACTCCGGCGTTATCTTAGCTGTCGCAGATAGTCAGAAGGATTTTTTTCCTCGACCCAAAGCGTGGATGATCCTTTGTTTTGTAAAGGTAATGTAGAGCTGGGCCATATATCAGCTCTGATGATACCTCCTCTGGGGCAGGAGAGAAGGAGCAGCATGCATCCCTCTCAGCAACGCCAAATCCAGGCCGTAACTCAGGCGAAAGGGCTCGTTTTATATCATCCGAGAAATATTTCATCTCCTCTCAAATTTCCCCGCGTCTTCCAGGTTTGACATGATGAGTTTATTTCAGTGCTGCTCTGAAGAATGGGCGACATACTATTTGCATAAGAAAACAAATTTACGCAGCAGGACAAAATATATGTTTTGTTTTCTCCCATCAAAGCTAAAAGCATTTAAATGCCGATCAGAAGAAAGAAAATGGTCGTTTTTCATCTCATGACATTCCAGTTTTAATTTCAACTTTATACGAACACAATTGCCGAAACATTTACTGCAGAAAAATAAATGAAGGCAAGTCTGTACTCCGAGCAATTTATTATTATTATTATTATCGTTATTGTTATTATTAATTCCACATTGTTGTCGTTTATGCTGTCATTGTAAGATATCATACTTATTTACCTGAAACATGTCTGTGGGATGTCAACATTGCAATGTGTAGCTTCACGTAAAAATAAAATACCAACAGAGTGATTGTGATAATGATGATACAGGATGAATGCATGGTCGCATTTTAATATTTATTAGGTTATTCATATGTTTATATTATGTATTATTTTATTAAAACATTATGGCTATATTGAATCAGACAAGTCTTGTTCAATGGTGTCACTCAGCTTGCTACTAAAGCCATGTAGCCGTGACATTATACACACACTTCCGTTTCTTAACCGTTTTATTTTCCTCTGCCATAAACTTTCCCCTCATATTTCACATTTCTGTTTAAACAGCAGACATTATTTTGACCAAATTGTCATTTTAGAAGGAGATCTTTGGCTGTCAGTTTGCAAAGGGCTTCTGAAGTTATGTGTCCAGTTGCACTTTATCAGGTTATGAAGGCAGTTTATATTTGCTGCTGGTGCGATCTGCTTTCAGAGGAAACTGTTCTTCTAAATGTTGTTTTGAAATACAATCAGCTTTTCAACGCCTTTCTCTAACATTTCTCAGGAGTTTCTTAAAGATTCCCAATTATTCTCACAAAACCATTGAAAAAAACAACAGTTTAAATATAAATAGAAAAATATTACCAATTTATTAAGGACCCAGATTAAAACTTACATGGATCTGTTTGAATTCGAGTTTAATTAATGCATAAAGTAGCAGTTAATAGGGCAAACAACATTTTACTGTAAGAAAAAGACCTCTATTGTAGAGGTGTGTTTAACACACATAAGCATTAAAATACAACAACAAATGAAGGCTTATTGACATCATAATATCATATTAGACTTTGCCATTCATTTTAATTATTCAAACTATAAATGCATTGAAAGGCACACGGGTTGATCCACTGTGGGAGCATACAATGTCAAATTAAAAGATATTTCACGTAAATTGTCTGCGTTTGCAGCCAGCTGAGCTGTGCTGGATCCTGGTGCTCGGTGGCTGTTTATTAAAGACAGATATTTGTTGTGCTGGGTCATCATCTCGGTGTCTGGCTTGCCAAGGTCAACGACACGGCCTGCCTCTCAGCTCTCCTTTAGAGACTGAACTTAATCTCTTAAGCTACTAGACTGTGCAGGAGAGAGTAAAACCACATCACTGACTGTCTAGAAAACGACTCTATCTCATACACTATTCACTGGTGTACTAACGCCTACTGGTGTGTTGTTTCTTTGCGTTAGGAGGTGTGGTGGACGTCTTTGATGGATGCATTTGTAATAAACCCCTCAAAAAGCTCTAGTTATCATAATCCAGTAGTGTTAGTGTAGAATATTTTCACAACACTTCTGTAATCTGCCACTTAAATGTATTTACAGAACACAAGCCCCCTTTTTATTCCCAAGCAGGTGTTGATTTAGGCCTTCCACACTGCGGTCTGTTAGCTTAAAATGCCACCCTGCGATATGTGACCTCATGCAGGAGGAGACACAGCATTCACTGCAGGCTTAGACTGCGATTAGACAGCTGCAGGGGTAACTATCCACATTGTAGCCATTTTATGAGACCCCAAAGTTGGGTGTCATGTCTTCCATCTCCCAAAGGCCTGTCTGTTATCTCACATGACACCAGATATAGAAACAGAGAGAGAGAGAGAGAGAGAGAGAGAGAGAGAGGGAGAGGGGGAAAGAGATTCGAATGTGTCTCTCAGTTTAAAACATGTACTGTATAAATCACACGTCATTACCAGAGGTCAGTGGATGAGGTACACAATTGGATGGTTTCATCGCGAGGGCCAGTCTGGTTGGAGGAGACAGGATTTATCTAGCAGTGGGATCTCTGGAGAGGCGGCCATATTTTATGTGACTAGAGATGTAATAACAGGCCTCTGACAAATCCCTGACGGCCCGGCTTCTCCTGCCTCGCAGTGCCAGTACTGCAGGAACATCAGATCGTAAGCGGCATCATTATCACCGTGATACACCTGGACTGCACTGTGCCGCTCAGCAAAGTGTTTTCTCCAGGGTTGGGAGCTCTTTGCTGTGACTTTCACGAGGGTCTCTTTACCTCTGGTGGTATCTAGCCATGCAATCGGGGTTTTATGTGCCCAAATATTCGCCCCAAACTTGAGATTCAGAACCACCAAGACCATAATTACACGGTTTGGAATACACAACATATACGGTGATGACAAAATAATGTCTCCCAGCAAGAACTAACTGCAACGCAAAGACTTTACAGAGAGACTAGCTGTATGTGACTTTTGAAAGAACACGTTTTTCGTCTTAGAAATTAAAAGTTGAACTCATAAGCAATAAAATACAACCTTGCTCAGCTGAATACACTCAGGGGCTTTGCTGCTACAACCTCATTTGGTCTGGTACCAGCAGCTCGTGGCTAATGTTAGCTGGATAGGTTTATAGTGATATCATTTAGTCAGTGTGCAGATTTCATAACTCTGCTCTTCGTGTGCTACAACATTTTTAAATGTATTATCACAACATTGTTATAATGGCCACTGCTTAGCTTGCTTTATTAGAGGTAAGCTCTTTGCTTCACGTAGCATAAACATAGATGCACAGTTTAAATAGTACTTTGGCAAATACTGTATACCGCCCTTTTATTCTAGAGCAATTTGACAAAAACATATTCACAGTATAAATTTAATTACAGTGAGATCGGGATGTGGGACCGTTGTTGGAGGTTGCTGTTATAATATTGTATATAATATTTTAAGCACCAACAACAAAACGTCTTTAACTTCCATCGTATTGAAGAAGCAGAAGTCTCTGAGACTTTTTACTTAAGTAAAGTAAAAAAGTCTTGCATTAGAAATATTGTCAACTAAAAGAGTGTACGTTTATTTATCAAATTGACTCAAAGTATAAAATGCTCAGTACTGCATTCAAACAGAAGAAGCGTTTTAATGATGAGGTAGAGCTAGTTTAAACTGCTTTTTGGGTTATTTCTTCGATAAAAATGCTTCATATTTTGTTGTGCTTAAAGAATCTTAATCTGCAAAGTATCTACAGTCGTCAAATAAATATAGGGGAGTAATAAGTACAATATGTCCCTGTGACATATAGAGGAGTAGATTCAAAGCAGAAGGAAATGGAAAAACTCAAGTTCAGTGTCTTACAATTATACTTAATATTGCTTAAATGCATTTTTCTCTTCTTTTGGGTGAACTAAGCCTTTAAAAATGAAAGATCACCTCCACTCTGCCTCTCACCATCTAAAAGATATTGCTGTATTTTGATTGGACAGCTTGACTCACTGCACAATGCTTCCAACAACCTGCAAACATTCAAATTGAGTCAAACACAACAGTCAATAAATGAACATGTCACGACATGATCCCCATGCAGGGAAAACAGGTGCACAGCCTCCCAAGAAGTACAAGAAGAGCAGAAGTTACCCCATGGGGGGTGTGTAATGCAAAGTTACTCTCTCCTTAGAGGAACCTTTTCATGGGTCTCTGGCTGAAGTACACATTCTTCTCACTGGTGAAACTATAAAGAACCATTCACTCAATAAACAGTTTGACACCAGTGTAATGCTGAGAGGGTGCCAACATTGTTTTTCTCGTTGTGATGACAGTAAAACCTGCAGCTGGACGCCATGAGATTTGTTCCCTGTGTCTTATACCTGGTGGAGCGGTTGCTCGTCTCACACTCTTCTGCCAGCCAGCAACAGACTGGCTGCACGCCCCTGATCATACCGGTGTGGTTTGGGGCCTGTACACTTGTTGTTGGCGCAGCCTGAACATAAGCAATTCCTAATTTACAGAAAGCACACTTTGAAACGACACATATGTGGCCGTCGGATGTAATTTTGACCATTAACCAAACCAGCGTCACCTCGTTTTCTCTCATCCTCTCCCAATCTGTTCAGGGGTCCCTTCCACATGCTCCCAGTGAACAGAGCTCTCTCTGCTTCCCTATATTCACAGGCTGCTGATGAATCCCTCCTCTGCATTATGAATGTCACAGCGCAGCACTAGATAGTGCTTCATTTGAATGTTCTTCCTTTCTCATCTACACTTCACAATAA